TTTCGATTTTCGGACATATATTTATAGGATCTTTTTTCTAATATAAGGAATCACACCTTGATGTTAGGGACTCAACTTCGGAAACATCCTGTATATTTAAAAAAAATTTTTTTTAAGATTTCTAGCACTTGGACCAAAATACAATTGTCTGTTGTTTTAATTTGGCGTAAACTTATTTTGCATACAATTTAGACAGAGAGTTATACAAACACAAAATAAAACATTCTCTTTTTAGTTATTTTGAGAATTTAACAGCAATATAACAATAAATTTATATTGCTCAAGAGAGCAAAAGAACTCGAGAAATTCTCAACGAGAGAAATCATTCTCTCGAAGTGACTTTTCGAGAGAAAATCGATCTCTCGTCGAGACCAGATGAGACAAGAAAATCTCTTGTCTCGGCGGCATCACTATCCCTGGTGGTGTATCGTATACAGGGTGTCCCAGAATATGTGGGCAATCTCTCGGATTCAAATAGAACTCGAAAAAATAACATGACAACTTCCTATAAAAAAAACTCCTACGACCCCCCCTACGAAGTTACGTGCCCCTAAAGGACGCCTCTGCAAATCGGTTTTTTGTTGATAACTTTCAAAATACTTCGTGTATTTTTTTTTTCTTTTAATATGATGGATACTAGGTGAGACCCCCTAAAATGGACCCTCTCAAACACACTCGACCAATCTGCTTTGCCAGGGACGGACTAGCTTTAACGCAAATGGAAAGTGGCACTTTACCGCACACTATGCGGTAAAGTTTACTTTGTTTGTTGTTTGTTGTTTGTTTACTTTACTTGTAAAAAAAACTGAGGAAATATTAGTAGAAAGGATTAATTTTCATTTTCGCGAAATAAGGGCTAATATTGAAGCATTGTCGAGAGTCGAACAATATTTTATTAAAATAGGTATGGAATGCATAAGATTAGAAGGATCTCATGTTGAGTCAACATAAAAAATTATTTAATAAAAAACCATTAATACACAAAAACAGATTTTTCTCGAAACCAGCTCATTTTTTTCGCATCGAATAAGAGTACCTTTTTTCTAGTTCAAGGTTGAAACAATCTAAAAATATTATTGCTATGCTTATATCATACAGGGTGTAAAAAAAATTAGCATTATTGTGTTAAAGCTAGTCCGTCCCTGGCAAACTAGATTGGCCAAGTGTGTTTGAAAGGGTCCATTTTAAGAGGTCTTACCTAGTATCCATCATATTAAAAGAAAAAAAAATTACACGAAGTATTTTGAAAGTTATCAACAAAAAACCGATTTTCAGAGGCGTCCTTTAGGAGCACGTAATTTCGTAGGGGGGCCGTAGGAATTTTCTTTTATAGGAAGTTGTCATGTTATTTTTTTTGTGTTCTATCTGAATCCGAGAGATTGCCCACATATTCTGGGACACCCTGTATATCCACCAGAGCCAGAGTTCGGCCATCTCTCTGACCAGTTATTCAGTACCAATAACTGGCTCTGTCGAGTCCGATTTAAGTAGTAACGCTTCTTCCGATGAAGGAGTATTGCTACTACAACTCTCGGCCGAAGCCGGCTCTTTCTGACAAAGGAAAAGCCGCTAGCTCCTTTGTCACGTAAGTGACAAGGAAGATCCCCGCATACGCCGGATTTTGTCTATTGAGACGCTTGAGTATAGTGATGGTGTTTTCTGGTATTCCGTAGACTACCGCAACCATCTTGACAACCCTGAGAATGTATCGCATCACTCGCAATGATACTCCATTCCATGGTTTGATAGAGGGTATGACCCCATACAGCCAATCCAGAGTCCACTGATCCTCACAAGTAACCAACATGGTCTCCTCCATTGATCAGCGGAACTTCCCGAACCGGAAAAATCGGTCTACCCCCTAGAGATGTAGATGCTCCCAACATAGCAAAATAATATTCTTATCAGGTGCATAGAATATTCATTTTCGAATATGGACATTGTTCAGTTCATACATTGCATGTACTGTGAATATTCGTATATGTGCTATGCATATGCATGCCAAGTGCGTTACCCAAGTAACATTTTTAGCTTTAAAGAAGTGTTAAGAGTTACTATAAAACCTAGAATAAAAATATTTTATAAAGCCATATTGCCTTAGCAACCATTAAAGAACCCTTTTAAAGTTTTTTTAAGACTGCAAGGGCCCACCCCTAAGATTGCTTTAACAGCCTTTTATAAAACCTCATTAAAGCTTTGAGGTTTCCAAAGGCAAAGTTTTATAGCTATACAGACAGCATCCCTAAAACTTATTCCAAGTCTATGATAAAACTATTAGGCCGCCTTGAAAAGCCAAATGGAAGAAATGAAGTACAAATGGAATTTTTTTAAATAAAAATGGCAAAAAAATCTATATTCTTAAAACTTTAGGGGCTTAGCCAAACTTTATCAATTCTTCTACTCCGCCATAATTTCCCACAAACATAATTTAAACCTACATCTGTAATGGACGATCTATGATAACTATGAGTGGTATTACACAAATATAATTCGCAGATAGAGGTGATTCTGCCTTGAAATTTATATACAAACCCAAGTTTACTGATGAAAGTGTACTTCAAAGGTTCAAATAACTCGCGGGCCTTGAAAAAAGTCGAATTTTGACAAAAATGTAAAAATACTAACCTATAATGTGTCAATTTTTTCACACGTTTTACGGCTATTCGAAGCATAAATATGATGAATCAATTATAATAAGCAGTAAAATCATAATTACAATACCAGATTCAACAAAATACCTGAAAATAAACAGTGAATATATTTTTCTACAAAATGGATCAAACGCGTTCAAATGACAATCAAACATGGCGAAATAGCGATAAAGCTTACAGTTCTTTTCATTATATACCACAAATCTTAATTTCATAAAAAAAAGCCTGCAAACCTTGGATTATTTGTTCTTAAAGCTATTTTGCTTTAAAGCGTGTGATTCCTAGAGCTTCTGGTGGATAAAACGGCTCCCTAAACCTTCATAAAACTCCAATCTATTTGTCTGAAACAGGTTGTTAGGGCTGCTTTCAAATATTTATGCTTCCATCTGGCGGAGAAGATTCAAACTCTTTCAATGCTCTCGTGATCTTGGATCCTGTTTGGTGCGTTGAGAAGGTTTGGATCTTCTTCGCTAAATATAGCATAAAATTTTGAAAACATTAGGCTTTTTCGGAAACGCTGATCCAGATCCGATCATTCTCATTAATCCGATCACCCGCTGTTTGTTTCCTATCTTTCCGAAAAGGCCTTTTGTAAGTAAACCACCCTAACCACCTGTTTTTTGTTGTGGACTGGAACAAACCGTTACGCTACAGACACGGCCTTACATACCACAAACAAGCTTTTTGTTAGGTTAAAATAAGATTTCAAAATACCTATTTTATTGAACGGTAGATGTCGCCTGCCACTTTCACGTGCTACATCACATCACAGGAACTTTAAAAAAATTAAGATTTAACGCAGCATCTTTACTCCCCTTCTTAAACCCAATTAACTTTAAAAAATTCTTTCTGGTATCAGAGAAAGGTATGAAGTTTAGAGACATCTTTTTTTGAAGCCTGAAAGGTTTATTGATCTTCGGTTTTATTGCAGTTTTAAGCTTCACTTTTGCACTCCCTTCATACAGCTGACTTCCTTATTCGTAGGTTAAGATAAAGCAGAACGGTTTCCAGATCTTCCTTAAAGTAAAAAAGCTTTAAGCTAGAAATGTTTGCAGCATTATTACGACTACTTTAAAACTATTCGCGTTTTTAATGCTAAAAGGCTGTAATATTAGGTGATTACAATGTTGTTACAGCTCTTCAATAAAACGCAATAGTTTTAAAATAGTAAGCTTCTAATTTCACATTCTTAAAGTTTTCATATAATCCAGATAATGCTAAAAAGCATTTAAAATGTTACTTGGGTAGTCCAAAAATCTGATATTCTTGAAATATACGCCACGAATATATCACGTATATTCGGCATGCATATAGTTATTTTGTGGAATATTCTTAGAATAATATATAATGTCTGCCCAGCGAATCTGTGTCTAAGGGGCAACGGTAAGGGGAATGCAGTTGTCAAAAAAAATGGCTGATTTCATTCATAAAATACCCAGCTGCGTGCGGAACTTTTTGGAAGTGTTATCGTATTGTAACTCGTACACGAAAATCGACAATGACCAAACCCCCGCCACTGGATATTTCAATATAAATCGATATTCCAAGATGGGAGGATAAAATGACGTGAGCCCTGGCCAATAGCGAGACGTAAGGTGACGTTAGCTCATTGACAACCGTATGGTTCCCCATGACAACGGCGATCCTGCCAAAAACTCCACCAATCAGATTCATCCAGGACGGATGCTTGCCAAATTGTCAAAAGCTGATGGTATTTTTAGAAAATGTTTATTTTTTACAATAGACCAAATTGAAGAAATCAGGATTAAAATAAAGATAGATCTAACAGCCACGTTAAAATATTTAGCGTTTTATTATTGTATCAATATTTTGTTATTAAAAAATGGATTTTCAAATTAACTATACTTCATCCCTAGTATTTTCGCTTTTTTATAAATAAACGTGGCAACATGGCACATTTACTTCCGAATTCCTTCCGTAGACTCAGATCCGCTGGGCAAACAATAGAAGTTCATTAATGAGCTATAAATATATATAGGATGTGCATATTATATTTTGTTCCAAGCTTGAAGTATATGCTAGGTATATTCTTCCCCAGAGGAGTTTTAATAGTACTTCGATTGTTAAATTTCAATGTAATTAATTAAAAGAACAGGTCAGATCTCAAGCATACTTTATTTCCATGTTATACCTATAACATGTAGATATAGGTGATGGATTGTTTGCTGGTTGCACATCAGAGGTGTGAGGTGTTATTTTTTTCTAAAAAAAAAAAGATATATTTGTTCAAGAAACTGCCTCAAAGTTGATAAGATAAATATAACATCCAAAATGAAATAGGAAAACCGATAATTTTAATAGGTACCTATTAGAAAAATTGAATGTTACCTTTTTTGCTTATTCAGAACTCTCTCTTTAGCCTTGACTAGAAACTTTTTAATGCCTCTCATAATCTCATCCTCACAAGCATTTCTTGTCCTTCCATTTTGTCTTACCAGCCTCTGAAAATTACAAATTAAACATAAATTTTTAGTTAAATTATTTAGATTCAAAACACACTCACCAAAAATTGCTCGCCTTTGTTTTCTTGTGATAGAATAGTGTGACTTTTTCTTTCTACCAATCATCATCAGCTATGCTTAAACAAACTAGGTTAGATACTGTTTATAGGTATGTATAAACTATGAGCTACAGGTGGGTAGGTACCAGCCTCTGTTGCTGTGTTGTTTCCAATGGATTATTCCACTCATGTGTTAGAAATCCCATAAGACAAGTGACGATTTTCAGAATAACAAGGAAAATTCTCTTTTCCATTTTTTTAACTAGAGAGAATTACAGCGATAATTCTCTCATGTTATTGTATACATGGTTGTCATGCTAATTTTTGATACAAACAAACGGTGCCTGATAGCAACCATTTATTTGTTTTGATTGTTAAGATGTTCAAATCGTTTAATACATATTTATTTCCATATTTTGTGCATTCTCATACGTGAAATAATCCTCTAAATACCACTTGAGCTTTAAAATGAACCAGATAAATTTTCACTCATGCGTGTTTTCTCTGCAAATTGAATTGCGAATTGAAGAAAACACGCAATGGTGAAAAATTATCGGTAATTTTGAAGCTCTCGTGGTATTATCCCCGAAAATCCCTTCTCCAAAAAATCTTTTTACAAAATGCACTAATTTCAACAAATATCACTTCAAGTTTACCAAATTAAATCAACACACACTGCTAGGCGAGGCTATAACCAACAACTGCAAATTTGCAATGGCGCAATGGCGGCCGGCAAATCGCGCGCGTGGTATCATCGGCTCCGCTGTCGGCAGCGACGGGATCTAGGAAGGCGAAGAACAGCGCTTGCGCTAACATTGAAAATGATGAGTGACCAAACACGATTGGTAGATGGCGATCGCGCGACTTGATGTTCGGCGAAGCTCGGCTCTTGCCGATATCGTTTATCGTATTGCGTTTCTGATTGGTAAATTTAAAATGCAATTCAATTCTCACAGTATATTTCTATCTCTTTCTCTCAACCTGTTAAAGAAACAGATAAGAATACACCGTTTATCCGTTCCCGTGATTTTTTTGTTGGGCAGCCCTGCAAAATTGATTAGGAGGGCGTTAAAACCCGCGATCACTGTCGCTGTTTATTAGTACGTCGTTACTGGCGTGTTAGATTTTATCTAACATATGAATTTTCGAGTATTTTATTTAGAAAAAAAATACAAAATGGTATTTCTTGTTAATATTTATTAAAGAAACATAAAGTACATTCATAAGATGAACTCAACTTCGCATTTTCGCCATTACAAGGAACCATCACAAACAAATTAATAATAGAAAAAAAGAATAACACAAAATCGTACTTGAAAAGACAACCAAAATATACTCCTCGACAAAATTATCGCACCACTACTGCACATAAGCACCATAAGCAGTGGTGCAATAATTTTGTCCAGGAGTATATTATAATAAAGCTATTCGTCGTCTTGCATGACGCAGTCCTGGCATAAAACTGTAGTTTTCATTGTATGTTCTTTACAAATAGGCTTGAAGTATGCATCACACTGGTAATTTGTGAATCTGTTTTTTCTAATTGGGCAAAAAGAGCATCTTGGTTTTCGCTGGGTACCAACTCGTTCCTCGTTGACTCGGTCTGCTGGAGGTGCATCATTACCAAGGGTATTTCGAATTTTTTGCTTCAAGGGGATTGAAAAAGTTTGAATTCCAGCACGCTTTAGTAAATGAGGTTTAGCAAGCTGTTTTGATAACTGGCTAAGTAATTGTCTTCGAGGAACATTATCTCCGGTGTTGCTAGTATAAATAATCCTGGAATTTATTCCTCCAATGTTTAGCATTGAGCAAAATAAGGTGAGTGGCCACCTGTTGCTTACCCTTGTAACAGAGTATTCCGTTTTCATCCTGTCTACAACGTCGACTGCGCCCTTTGTAAGGTTATAAAATGTTATGACCGAGGGCTTTTGTTCAGCACCAGTTTGGATATCTATTTCATCGTCATCGTGGAAAGTCGATAACATCAAAACATTTTTACCACGCTTTGGTATGTAAGATGTAAGCATGCATTGATTTGGGTCTTTTCCATATGCAAACATACTACTTTTAACTTTGCGAATTTTTGTATCTAGTAATAAATTAGGAATTTCCCGTTTGTTTTTCCTAAGGGTTCCCACCATGGTTAATCTGTGATTTTGATATAGATCATTGGCTAGCGGGATTGAAGTAAAATAATTGTCACAGGTTACATTCCTTCCACTTCCACTGCAATGCCGGAGGAGACGTTTTACAACACTCATCGCATCATTAGGTAACTGAAACTGGCCATCGGGTTGCTTTCCAGCGTAAATCTCCAAATTGTGGGTGTAAAATGTTCTTGCATCCACTGCCGCATATATTTTAATACCATATTTCGCGGGTTTATTTGCAATATATTGCCTGAAACGGCAACGCCCCCTAAACGCCTCTAACATTTCGTCTATGGTAACGTATTCACCAACGGAATAATAATACTGGACACATTTTTCAACAAAATTATCAAAAATATAGCGCACTGGAGCCAGATTGTCCTCTTTCAGTCTTTCCTGCCTGGTTGCCTTGCGATCAAATCGAATTGCTTGTACCAGCATGTGAAACCGGCTCTTAGACATAACTGCCGAAAAAAACTCCGGCGCTGTTCCATCTGTATGCCATAGCTCGTTTGTATTCAAGTGTTGAGATCTTTTGACACCAGCTAGATACAGAACCCCCAAAAAGGCGTTTATTTCTTCAAAGTCAGTCGGCAAACAATGTCCCTCATGTTGATATTTAGGTCTCATGAGGTCAAGCTGTAGATTCGTACACTCCACGATAAGACCAATAATTTCATCGGGAAAAAATAATTTCCAGCAATCCATATATGTTTTAGCACTTTTAGCTGCATTTTTGACTCCTGGTAATTTTGTGACAATGTTTTTAGAACGCGTTTTACTTCGAATAATGTCTTTATGCTTTAACCACTTTGTTACACCATCTTTCCCAATGTAATATGATTTAATGTTGGTTTCCTTTCCACGCCTTTGAGGTTGTAAAAACTCATCATTGGATTGCTCGGTGTCCGTATCATGGTCGCTGTGCTCAGACGGTGCATCTTCATCTGAGATATCACACTCTACTGCAGGCAATAAATTTTCTTGTTCCGAAACTTCCCAAAGGGCTAATAGTGCTTGTTGCTCCTTTTCGTACGACATTTTTTAAAACACCACAAATACTTTCAACAGGATCACTCGCGTAGTTAGATATCTTCTAACAACTTCGTAAAAAAACATCAACGTAATAAGTAGCGCGTTAGATTCTGTCTAACAGTCTGAGAGCGCTCGCCTCAAAGCTACTAAAAAAAATCTTCTTGTGGATGGCTGGCAAAACCAAGTATGGGGGGAGGTATAACGATAGATAAACGAGGAATTCTAGGAGCGGCGTTGCCGTACTGCCATTATTGATCTTTTACTTAAGGAAAATGTTAAAATGTTAGACAAAATCTAACAACACTAGTGATCGCGGGTTTTAATGAGATTTGAAATCTATCAGTTCTGTGCTCTAATTGATTGATTTTTCAAAATTCGTTTGCAAAGAGAAAAAAAAAGCACATTTTTATGTTTACCTATATGCCAAATTTGAATTTTTGAGCTAGTTCTGCTCAAAATTCAAATTTGACATAAACATTCTTTGATCGATTAGGGGCCGAATTTATAGTCATTCCTTGAGTCTGCCTTAAAGGTCGTGAGTTTAGAATGGACACTTGGTACTATTTGACAAGTTAGTCATGTCAATTCTAAACGTTCAAGGCTTCCTTAAAGTCCAAGGAAACCTCAAGGAGCGACTATAAATTCGGCCCTAAGTATCTGGTATCTGCTACAATCCGAATTAGTTTTTTGATATTTTATTGCAGATTTTTTAGAAATAATCATAATTTTGTTGGAATATGGCACGCATATTCATAGAATATTTGAAGGTATATCCTATTCACAATCCGATGTCCACAGGTACAGGTAAATTTATCACCTTTCCCTATCAAATAGCATTGAAAGGTGATAAATTTTACCTGTACCTGTGGACATCGTTTTGTGAACGGATAATATGTAACCAATCTACTTCAATGTACCTTTTCAGCATATGGCCAACGAACATGAAACGGATATTCACAGAATATACCAAAACGCAACTGCTTTAACGAACGTTAGTGGGATATGCATGGCACATGAATATACTTTCCTTGCTATGTGGGTCATGGGTGAAATTTTGTACCAGCACATGCGGAAAGTGCCTTAACCACTTCGCGTCGTTGGGTCATCTGCCGTTGCGTGCGGAAAAGTATCACTTTCCGCAGTTATTAGGTACCTAAATAACTATTGCGCATTACATACATATTATACTTAATTTAAATAGGTAATTGTCAACAGGGCATGCAGCTTATGAAAAAAAGCAACGACAAAAGTAACCTTTGAGTTATTATTAGTTGTAGAAAAATATCTGCATTTCGTGCTAGAAATGTGTGTTCGGTCTCGGGCAAAATTGACACTCCAGGTGCCAATAATTTGTGGCCCTAATACAAAAATCACCATTTTTCAAAAAAATGAAAAGGAGGAAAATTTATGTTTCTGCTGATTACATACAACCATGCGAGGCAAAATCCAAAACTAAATGAACCAGTGTAGCTACAGCGTTTCGCCTTTCTTTGAAATATGAAACTTTTAATAAAACTATTTGATAAGGAAGTATAGATAAACATGAACCAAAACAAATGCCTGCTCACCTGGCATTGGAAATCTTTTTCACGAATACTTTCCAATTAAAGATACAGCGTCGGCCAATAAAAAAAATATATAATATATGGATATTTTCCGACAAATTAGTCACCACGATTTGTTGATCTTTAAAACCCGAGATTAGGAATATTAGTTCTGAAACTATTGAAATGGGTACCTAGTTTGAGTTTGGGTT